GAAAAAGTGCCAAAAATTGCCCAAAGATGTACAAAGCAGAAAGATTTTGAGATGATCACTTTATCTGTTTGAAAACAAATACTGTGTGCTTCGACGGCTGTATGGATAGCACCTTTGAGCCTTCGAACCCTAATGAACTGCTGCTCAGTCATCCCCATGTGACTGAGAATCTGCTCAAGTTCTTTCTTTTTTATTGTTATCTTGGTGGTGCACACATATGTAAATTTTTTTTGAAAAATCTAACTGATTGGTTATTTTGAACTCTGCATCGAGCAAACTGCGGATTCCAGAAGTTTAAGGAAAACGCTAATCAACTGACAATTTTAGTTTGTGGAATCATCTTGTTCTTTTTATTTTCAAGGCGAACTTCAATTGCTTACTTAGGCACGCGCCATACCTGATCCACTTGATCCGCTTGATCAAGATATTGGTCAAATTAGTGAATCGACCAACCGCGACGCTGTTGTCCACTTCATCCACTCAATATGCTGCTCTTCGCCGTTGGTCAGTTCACAGATTTGACCAATAGCGAAGTGGATTGTTTGGATCAAGGGAATCAAGTGGTTCAAATATGGCGTGTGCCTTACCTGAAACGATTCTCGACCCTTTCTCCTAGTTTTCCTCCCATGTAGCTGCCAATGACACCCATTGGGACAATAATCAATCCTAAATTCAAGTAATAAACGCAAGTATAGATAAAGCAAATGCCGTGCCAAATATTTGGAAAAAAATCTTACCCGTCATTGTGCTTGCCCAGCTGCTGCTGAATCCGAATAAATTCTCAAATAGTTTTGGTATAAAGGTAATGTAGCCATTCATGATCATCGACTCAGCTGTCTGCATTGCAATCAGCGCCATACATGTTTTGTTGAAGAAAAAAAGCTTAAATTCAAATTATTTTCACTCTTTTATGCAGGTCTTCTTGTTATGAAAATAATAACCTTGAAAATTTTGAGGTATTCGAATCTGTCTCCGCTAAAGTCAACGTTTAGTTTCGCATGAGTTTGCACAACATCATCCTTTTTTCGTTCATCGGTGTCTAAAAAAGCGAAATGAAAAAATCCATAAGTTTCTAAGGCCTATATATCCTGACCATTCAACTTCTTCGGAAACATGCACAATGGCAGAGAAGTGAAAAATGAGGCTAGGCCAGCGGCAAAGAATCCGATCCACCAGGCCCCGTACCATCTTGGATCAGATGGACCATTGATTCCAAGACTGTAAGAAAATTTTTTGATCCATTAGTGACTGAAAACAGTTTTATTTGAACATACTCCAGATAATTTGACTTTCCAATGTCTCCCCAGATAGTTAGTAGATAGCCTCCTCCAATAAATGCAAGCGCAGGTCCAACTGTGCTCACTCCCATGAAGATCGCTGCAAAAATAACTTTAAACATGATGTGATCTAG